ACCCAATTGCCTTTATTTCACAGACTGGATATAGTGGGGATATCCCCTGACATCCCATGCAGTACCAGGGATACTAACAGAGATATCACTTACCATGATTCCCCATTATATTCTGTTGTCTTAAAACTGTGTTTCTTTCATTCTAGATTCTGAATGCTCCTTTAAGTGATCTCCCAAAATGTTATTGTTAATAGCAATAGGTATGAGTGACCACCAGCAAAGCTAACCTCTGACAGAATCTCCAACATTTCTGTATTGTTGTTTTCAAATTCTAGACACAGTTATGCACATTTTGGCTCCATATTACAATGAGGAAGATTTAAGCACATGCTTAATTCTTCCATTGAATCAATGGAACTTGGGCTTAGCTTTGGTTGAGTTGTGGCCTTAGTTCTCTGAAGCTGTACATGTTGCTTCTCTAGTCCTGAAGCATCATTCTCCACTCATATAAACAAATAAAAAAGCAAAGAAGCATAAATTTTGTGTGGACAGAACATCATAGTACTTCTGCTGTATTGGTAATACTGAATACAAAGGCTGATTATTTCTCTATTAGTGGGAGATACTCCAAAAAGACTTTCTTCTCTTACAATTGACATGTACATATGTCTTGTGAGTACCTTTGTAGCACCCATTATTGAAGACAGGGATCACACATTAGGGGTAACTGAAACACTTTAAAGCCCTAAGGTCAGAGGTGGAAAGAAATATAAAAGTAATTACACAGGATAGAAAAGGGTGAAATTAATTATGCAGGGAATTATTCTCTCACCTAGATGTGCAACAGAACTCCCCATAATGAGATTTTTCTCTCCACACAGTGGATGGGACAGTATTTAACCCCTCAGCAACTAATACTAGATTCACCAGATACATATGGACCTGTTCTGAGAAGCAAGAGGTGTTTAAACTGCTGCTGGAAGTATTTTCAGTTGGGGCCTCAAGGCTTTTGAGATGGAAGAGGTGTCTGTTTGACTTCCAGAAAATATGCAAGCCCCTCTGACTATACAGACTGACCAATAGGAGCTAGAATGAACTGGGTCTGCTTTCTTATTCCTTTTTTAGTGAAATAAAACATCAATAGGTGGGATGGACCATTGGCTTGGTAATTCTTAAAAATAGCCAATTCACCACCATACCTGGGGTGGTGCAGTGGTTAGTATCAGAATAGGATCTGTGCATCTTTTGGGTCTTCACAATCTCTCATCCTAACCTGAAAGACTGTTGCTGTGAGGATAAGGGTGGAAGAGGGGAGAAAGAGGTGGTAAGTTGCTTGGATCCTGATCAGCAAGAAAAGCATGATATCTCTGTGCTCCTTCTCACTCTTTGCATACAAACCCCAACCTGAACTACAAAGTTTTCTCTCATCATTGGTAGTCAAGTCAGTAGGCATGGACACTGGCTCCTTCTCCCAAGGAACCACCTGTACCGCCCCCCCCCCATATGTTTTTGAGCTTTCTCTTGGCATGTAAGAGTTTTGTTTCAAATGGGATTTGGTGGAAGGTAAATTATTTTGGAAGATTTGGCTGCAAAAACCTGTTCATTTTTATGTTATGTTTTTATCTTGTTAAGTGCCTTGAGTCTGAGGAGACAAAGCATGATATAAATATTTTAAATAAATAAAGGATATTTTTCTGGTGCACTACCAGCTTGACCAGTCACTCTATGGTCATGTTAGGGTTTGTGGTGACAAGAATGGTTTTCTTCTTGGTGCTGCCACAGAAGCATACTTCTACTGCCTTGCATCTTGAGCTGCTTTTTAAGATTACCTTGGATTGGTATCTACAGGTAGTGACGGGGATGGATGAGAGTGAGTGCACACCAGTGAACCCCAGTGTGGCACCCACCGGTGCCATTTGCTTCTTTGTCAAGGCATCTGTTTTCCCAAAGCAAAGAGCCAGTCATGTATTTTCTCCACTGGAGTAGGAGTTGGTTCAGATGAAGCTAGGAAATCGTCTTGCTTTCTGAAAGGAGCACCTATTCAGAACCAGCTGGCTGGCTTGCAACCTCCTGCCATTGCAATGGCCCTAGAATCCCATGGCAACCATTTAATGATTGCTCAGAGTAGCAGTCATTTGTTGGTGGTGCACAGTCTGCATCTTCAAAATTCTGAAAGTACGTACAGGCTTAACAAGTTTGAAGTCCATTGGTATAGGCCTTCTCAGGCGCAGTGCTTTAATATTCCATGTGTCTTGTTGACACATAAGGAAGTTTGAGTGGATTAGCAAGTTTGTGGGGTTCCCTTGCAAGCTGGCCATGGTTTCCGCCTGGCTTGTCACCGGTTGAGGTAGTATTTAGTTGCAGTAGCATTAATCCAGTGGATGTAAGTTTACCAGTCACTGAACCTGTGTATCAGTGATTTAGAAGACTTGATTCATTCTCTTGTATAGCTCCCAGGACTTTGCAACAGCTTTTTGAAGCTATCCCTGCCTCCTGACATGATAGCCTTCTGGAGCAGTGGCAGAGGTGGCAGCTCTCAAGTTAATGCATCAAAAGGTCAAGAAGAGAATAATTCACTTTCCCCTTGCCACAGACAAAAAACAAACCCCACAGTAAAGCTGCCCGTTTATTGGCAAGATTATATATAAACACGTAGTTCATATCTCCAGCTACCTCCTCGGCAGCTTTCCAGATGGAGCGGCTGTCATCACCTACCTACCTAATCAAGTGGAGGATTATCTTGTCCTGATAAATTGGAGTCAACATCTACTGGAGGAAAGAAAATGTCTTACATGAAGTACTTCACTAGCCTTTAGCTAATAGGGGAGCAGATGTCTGGATCAAGCCCCTGAGCGTGCAGTAAGTAGCACAACCGAATGATTTGTGGCAAACAGTGTAAACGTCTTTAAAGGAAGACATCACTAAACAGGTGCACCGTTAAGCATGATATATTTGAGGCCAGGGGACAAAAGGGAAACTGAAAGGCTATAATGGGTATGGTTTGAGAGATCACACACATTCTGTAAGGCTGATTCGGATGCATTTGCCCTAGAAGGGGCTGTTTTTATGAACTGAGCTCTTGAGCAATGTGTTTGCATTAAAAAGAGAGACAAAAAGAAATATTCCTAGCTTTGCCATCCTGCATTGTTCTGAAACAAATCAGAACCACTGAGCCGCTAGACACTCGTTCATTGTTCTTGGGGGTGTGCAACTTGATTACTGGCAACTCATTCAAGGTAAATAAACTATTTTCTCTCTTTCAAGCCCCACTGAGACAAGCATTAACATTTGCTAAGCACCCAACTGTGTGGGAAGGTTTATTTAAACAAAAATATAAATGTGGGGGGAAAGAAACAAAGCAGGAGAGCTCTTGTTCTGCTAAACAAATCAAACATTTTTTACTAAACAACAGAAAGGCAGTTTTAAAGTGACAAACCACACATGTAATATATTGGCTCAGATATAATACCTGAAGGAGCTGCAGAACTGTATTTGGGGCTGCCAAAGCAAATATCACCACTAGGTGCACATCACTTGGGTCACAGTTGCAACCCTGCCAAAGCCCAACAATGTGCCCAAGTCACAAACTGAAACCAATGAGGCTTAAGGACAAACTATGTGTTTTCCCAAAAAGATCCTTAATGGATCTTTAAAAAAAGAAACATTATTTAAATGCTGCAGTGGAATGGAGGAGTTGCTAATTTGATTGCAGAAGCCAGCATCTCTTTGAGATTTTTAACACTTTCCCCTTGTTTTCCTAATCTGAATTGTGCCCTCAAATTGATATTTTTTCTATAGGGAGTGTGGAAGGCAGCAGGTGCCTGCATCAAGTCTGTATTTTCTCACCTAATGAGCAAATAGCAGCTGAGCTCGAGGGAAGAGAACAACAGTTTAGATCTGGAAAACTATGTATGGGGAAAAGGGCTAAACATGCTCTGACCTTATGCTGCTACCCTGATCAAATGAGTGACAAACATACCCCCAAAACAAAACAGAGGGTCCGGTCACAGATCTCCCAGTATAACAAGTCATTTATGTTGGACTGTGGCCTGTCTTTCATTACAGATACTCTAAGGGCAGTTTTAAGTAGGTAGGTGTGTTAGAACAGTCCCCTTCACCCATGGTGGGTTCCATGGCCCTCAGTGTAGTCTTTTTGGTGGTCTCCTCCTTTTTTCATCAGTGGAAAATCTAGTTGGAATGGATCCAACCCAATGCATTTGAAAAGTTTGTGAGAAAATAGAAAAATGGTATATGTGGTGGGTGGTACATCTGCAGTGTCTCTTTTCACAAGAGTCACTTGATACTGCGAGTCAACAGTGAGGAAAATCGATGAGTGAACCAGCCCTAAGAGACTTTCACATTAGGCAAGGCTAGAATAGTCACAATCTTAGACTAAATGAATTTGTGAGGCAAATTCAAAGGAATTTTTAGGGGAGCAGAAAGGAGTTAAATAAGGTTAGCAGCCACAAGGAAAAGTCGTGTCTGACCTGGCACTGGTTATCACAGAAATCGCATCTGTTAGTTAGCACTGGCTAACCCGGTCATTAATTACCTTCTTTACAGACTGTGGCAGAAGAGTAGTAGTTGTAGTGGTGGTGGTGGTAGTAGTTAATTACCAAAGTAGTATATGGATGACCTCATGAAAAGTAACAAAAGTCAAGACTGAAACGATGCCAAATCATTGGTACTTTAATTTATGAAGTCCATCACATTAAAACAAATTACACATGGTTACCAATCCAAACTTAGATGAATGTGTATTGATTAGCTGAATTAGTATATTTGGTCTGTATATATGTACATATGAGCTGAGGGGTTATGTATTTTTACTGTATACTTCACGAGTAAGTATTTGATCATTACACCTATCCTGCTATTGCCATTATAATGAAAACTAGTTCCAGAGACCTTCCATTTCTTTTTCTTTGATAGGTAACCCTTTGTCCTTTTATCAGTTGCTATGGCATATGAAACTGACTAAAAACTATCAAAATCCTTTGCATCTAATGACTGTATGTCTTACATCTCCTTTTGTCCTTCTTTCACAGGGGAACCCCTACATGTGCAATGAGTGTGATGCAGCCATAGATGAACTGGCACATCCACCTGAACTGATGTTTGATGTTGAAGGAAGGCATCCATATACCTTTTGGCAGTCTACCACATGGAAAGATTACCCAAAGCCTCTCCGGGTTAATATAACTCTCTCTTGGAACAAAACTATCGAGCTAACAGACAACATAGTCATCACCTTTGAATCCAGCCGTCCAGACCAAATGATCCTAGAGAAATCCCTCGACTACGGTCGAACATGGCAACCCTACCAGTATTATGCTACAGACTGTTTAAACGCTTTCAATATGGAACCAAAAGCAGTGAGGGATTTATCTCAACACACAGTCCTTGAAATCATTTGCACAGAAGAATATTCTACGGGGTACATGGCAAACAGTAAAATCATCCATTTTGAGATTAAGGATAGATTTGCATTTTTTGCTGGGCCTCGACTTCATAATATGGCTTCTCTGTATGGCCAACTTGACACAACGAAGAACCTAAGAGATTTCTTTACTGTCACAGACTTGAGGATAAGACTGCTCAGGCCAGCAACTGGGGAAATATACGTGGATACTGACCATTTGACTCGCTACTTTTATGCAATCTCAGACATAAAAGTAGTTGGAAGGTAAGAAAATGTAAAACATTTCTGTATTAATTTCTTTCTTTGATTACTACAGTTTGCCATCTTCCTTTTCCCTGCTGATGAAGATGTTAGTCTATGCTGGAATTTGACGTTCTCCCAGTTTTTAGAAACTCATTTGTAAAACAAGTAGTGCTTAGACAAACCCAGCACACCACCTCAGCATTCATATCCAGGAGTCTTCTGGTTTGGTGTAAGCATCATCAGAAATGTAGCCAGTCAAACTCCTGTTCTTTGGCTTTCTTTTGTATTGACTGTCTTTTTGTGATGCAGTGTAACAGTCAGCTTGTTCACTGGACATAGCTGGTTTGTGTGAGTGGGTACTAGCCTTACGAGGAGCCAGTAGGACTTTAGCCATTGTCAATAAATGGAAGGGTGATTGGAGAGATGTTTTGCTTGAGGAATAGCCTATTCAGCAGGTTTTTTGCACAGTAGGGGAGAAACATATGTTCCGACATTTGAAAGAGAAGTGCACATAATGTTCAACAAACACACAAAAAAAGGAAAATTTTTAAAAAGAGGAAAATTGTTGTCAAATGGTAGAACATTTCTCTGGAAGTAGACAGAGTGTCATCATGAGTCAAGGTGAGGTGACTAATCCAGGCAGCAACTGGGCATCATTAAGACAGCAGTCTGACTAAAGCTGCCTTTGAATATTTCCCATTCATTTCCATGGGTCAGGTCCAGGAGAACGTGAGCAGGAAGGAGTGTCATTTGGATTTTCTGCATCAGGCACCAAAATGCATTAGGTTCCCTTATGTGGGAGGATAACAGTGCAAATACCTAGTCATATTTAATGAAAGATTCTGGGTGATTGAATGGGACAGAGGCAAGACCTCAGAGTCAAAAGGAATTTCTTAACTTAAATTAGAACATTAAAGATCATAACATGACAGCGGAGGGGACTGCCGTCATCCGTTATATCACAGGTGTCTATCCACATAGTTTCATAAAGACAACAGTTGTGTTTCTGCATAGAATGGTTGAGATGGGGAATCTAAATTCTGGTGCTGGCAAACCCATGATCTCTCCGGAGCAGATGTGCTAGCATGTGCTAGTTTTGTTCCTTTATTGTCTGGATGGAATGATAGTTTGCCATAATGATTATCTCATAAGTTTGTGTACTAACATTTTAACAATAGAGATGCATTTTCACAGTAGTGTAAAATATTTGGAAATGCTCTAGTTCCCAGGATTGTATGGTACCTGGCACAAACAATGCAACTGTGGCAGGTCTGAGGGGTTTAACTCACTATGCTGTTTGAGAACAATCCCACAGTGGCTCAGAATTAACTAAACAAGAGGCTGTGTGTGTGGTGCAAACCTGGTGGTGGGGAAAATATCTTTTCTCCAGCTAATTTTAACAACAATGGTGAGATTAACATCCTTTCCCTGCTAATTCGTGCTGTAATAGATTTCTGGAAAAATGTTTTATAGTTCATTGGCTTTTGCCTGGTTAAACTTCTGACTAAAGCCCCAGTCTAGAGATAGCCGTGTACAGCAAGATCTTGCAGAAAACTGGTTATGTGCACACAGTAAACATTTTCTGTAGCTTCAGATAGCAAATGAGAATAAAACTCATCCTCTTCCACACTGTGCAGTGTTTATGGAGTTCACATAAGCATCCAGGTCTTATATGTGCTGCTCATGTGTTAGGCACTATGCACAGTGTTCTCAGTCTATTCTCAGGAACCAGAGGTACTGTCCCAATTTTTAAAATTTTGGGCATGCATTGAGAGTGTCTACATTTTTAAAATTTTGGGCATGCATTGAGAGTATCTGCATTAGTATCTCTTACTGAATGGGACTGGGACAAGAAAAGGTGAATAGGATCTCTTGTTGACTGTTTATGGCATTACCTTACCCTATTACCTGTAATTTCTTTTTAAAAATAAAGTGTGGATTCCTGATCCCTTTTAAAATTTAAGAAGTTAATGAGGCCTTAATGTAATATTGATAGCTGAATATATACAAACCGAGAAACGGGCTCAGCATATTAGAAGAATACAGAGTATCCAGTAAGAGCAGTTGTCAGCAAAAGATAATTGATTTTTTATGATTAAGCTCCAATCTATTGATTGCTTTCAGTCTTAATACATTACTTGGTTGTCTTATGGGCCATTCATAAGCACTGATGCTTTGATACCAGCAGTAGTATAATATAGTACTAGAAACGCATTTCCTGTGCTAGGACACAACCGATAACCTTGCAATGGTACTGGTACCCAGCCATTCATTGCACACATACTGATTCAATTCTAATAATCCTCAAACCATGTGTTTTGGTAAACTAGAAATGAACTATGAGCAAGCATAGGTTTTTTTCACTCCCAACCTTGAATACTTTCCATTCCAATCATATTCAGCACTACCATAGATTGTCATGATATTTGAAGTGACAAACTAGGGTTTGCAATTGCCCTCCAAACTAGCATTAAGAAATATGGTTGACCTGGATTTCCAGTTCTTGTTTGGAAGAACAACACTAATCGTGGTTAGCAAATCTGAACAGGGTTAACTATGGTTAACACTGTAATGATAACTGAAAAGGGAACTGAAGAAGAAGATAAGTGATTGGATTTATATCCTGCCCTTCAGTATCCGAAGGAATCTCAGAGCATCTTACAATCTCCTTTTCCTTCCCCTCTCCACAACAGACACCCTGTGATGTAGGTGGAGCTGACCGAGCTCTTTCGAGAACTGCTCATGAGCGAACAGCTCTGAAACAACCTGTGACTGACCCAAGGTCACACCAGCAGCTGCATGTGGAGGCGTGGGCTCCCAAACCCAGTTCTCCTAGATTAGAGTCCACACTCCCAACCACTACACCAAACTGAGCACAAAGGGGATAATTTACCATGGTATTCAATCCACAAAGCCTTGGTTTCTGATCTTCAAAATGATATGGAAAAAAATCTTCTGAATTGGGTTACTGTGCTCTATGAGTGTTTTTGTGCCAAAAGGATGCTTCTGCCATTACCTCTTTGCGTAGGTACTGTGGTACAAGCTCTTGCATCCACCTGCCATTGGAGTAGATGCATCTCTTACAGCCCTGTTGCCCAACATCTCTTAGAACCTTGGCACTGATGAAGGTGAGCAACACTCAGGCTGTGTGAATTAAGGGTCAGGAGACAGGTTTCCCTGGCAAGGAGCAGAGCTCTGTCACTCCAAGGATGAGATGGTTCTCCAGCTGAAGGAAGAAAAGCAGTCCCATGGCCAAAGCTTGTCTCTAGCTGTCCATATGTGTAAAAAAGACACACACCCCCTTTATCCTTGTTTAGAATTCAAGAAAGTCTGTTTCATTTTTAGATGTTAACACCATATTCTCAGTACAATTAAAGAAATACAGTTTGGTACTAATGTCTGCTTATCTTTTTATCACTTAGCATAAAAAACATAAGGCAGGAAGCAAGTTGGGTCTGAACTGATCAACACAGTCTCACAGTGAAATTGTGTTCTTAATGAGAAGAAATAATTCAAATTGTAAAACAAAAACCTAAAAAGTGTGTTGTACTAGTTAACATTCCTCATGCCCTTTCTCTAACACATATTAGATGTTATTAATGTAAAATGTCAAAACACTGGTAAAATGCCATTAGATTAATAATTGTTATTTAAATGCACAGCTATTGTTTTGCTGACAAATGTTAATGCTATTTGGAGATTTCTTTTATGCTTGTTGGAGTGTTATGTTGCTTCATATGCCTTGTGTATTTCACTTACTCTCTCCCTATCAAAAGGGTGCAATTCATGGATATTTGAACCTAAACTTGAGTCATGCCTCAACCCTACTTTCTGAGGACATTATTTCAAATTTGATGAGGGGTTTATAGATATGGTGGGAATTTACAGTAAAGTTTAAATTGCAAACAGTTTGGAACAGTTGCAAAACACACCTCTTGTTACATTTGTTGTAGTGACTTTTAGAATAACTCAATAAATAGACCCACATGAAGAATAATCACATTCTTTTCTGAAGAACTGTCCCTACTCCTTGCTGAAGTCGTATCCTGCCCTGCCCTTCTAAGCTCAAAGAAAGTTTGAATCTGCAGCTGAAGAGCCTGCTTTCCACCATATGGTAGTAGGAAGACAAAAATAATAATTAGGAGGCAAACACAAGAGAAAAAGGCTGTTGCAAGAGAATTAAAATCAGCAGCCTTCCAGAAGAGGATTTTAAAAAATGAAATAATCACATAACAAATTGGGTCTAAAAATTAAATGTGACAATGTAGAGAATTTAGTTGATGTTGTTGCTTGTCGGTTAAACGCTCCAGTAATCGGACACACATACTACAAAGGGGTTATCTGCTGTATAATGCTACCCCAATAGATTAAATTGATGCAAGTTCCTTTCCCCCTCCTTTTTGCGCTCAGCTGGTGCTGATAAAACATGTCTGGAAGAGGCGCTTCCCCCCCCCCCGCAACTCATGTGGATCCTTACCTCTCTTTCGCTGATAAGAGCTTAATCTGTTTCTCCTACAAGTTAAAAACAGCACAGTTTTTTATCCTGGTTGCTCTCACTGCTGGAATGAAGAGCAAGCTGATAAATCTGGGTAATATCTGGAAGAAGCTACCCTGAAGATTTTGGGTTTCGTCTCTTCTATAGGTGTTCTGACTGCCCATCATATAGTTAAATACATTTTCTCTGATTTATTTAGGTAACTCATTATCCTAAGATAACAAAAGCAAACAAACAACCCTGAACTTCCTCCAGCCTCTATTCCTTCCCCCCTTCTCTGTGAGCAGACTGGCCATTTAACTTGCAGGGAAATTTCCCAGTGGGCCACTGCCCTAGATAGTCACCAGTGGTCCCAAGCAAGCAGAGCCAAGCCCTAGCAACTCCACCAGTGTCTCCAGGGCCACTTGGCTCAAACCCTTCCTTTGCTGACAATAGCAATTGGTGTCAGCTTACAAATTGTCTCCTCCTGCTTTGCTGTCAGTTTGCGGGAGGAAGCAATGAGTGAGGAAATGCCCATTGTTGGTGC